ACTGGAGGACTCTGAGTGAGTTGCTTTTATGTTTAGTTTGGGTAAACCTTTATTCACAGCTAACATGTTTAAATGTATTGGCAGAATGTGCTTTTCCCGTGATTTCTTTTCTGTGAACAGGAATTTATCCTTTGTCCTTGGTATGTGTTTTTATAAATCGCTGATCACAACCTTGAAAACAAAATGGAAAGCCATAGAAATGAGGGGTAAAATTCCACCTGGATCTAGATTTACTCTTGTCAGCCTCAGTGGTAGCACTCTCGACTCAGAAGGTTATGGGTTCAAGCCCCACAGCAGCACTTAGAATCACACAGGCTAAGCTGACACTCCAATGTGGTGCTACATTGTTGGAGGTGGCGTGTTCGGATGAGACGTTAAACCGAGGTCCTGTCTGCCTATTCAGGTGGACATTAAAGATCTCACGGCACTGTTCAAAAGGAGAAAGGAGTTTTTCCTAGTGTCCTGGTCAACAATCGCTCAAATAAAAATTGGTCACTCACTCCATGGTTGTTTGCGGGGCATTGCCATGTGCAACTGTCTGCCGTTTTGCACCCACAAAGTACACAATCCATTTTATGCTACATCCTGTAAAGCACTTTGAGACGTCTCGATGACGTGGTATGGCACTATATCAAATACAAGCATTATTAATTATTATTACTCAATTAATGTAGAAATTCAGAACGGCCAGAATTTGGCAAATTGAGGTCTTATATTTGAAACTGGTTTTCTGTAGTTGTATGTAGTTACACTAGCCTGCCTTCAAAACACAACAAAGTACCTTTTTAGAAATAAGTCCACAAGGCTGAGATACATGTATTTCCTAAATCTGGACAGGTTGTGCACTTTGGATTTGCTTGATTTCGATAACATGGGGGAAAAAAAATCTTATTCCATAATGATCACTCCGCTGTCTCTATTTTCAAATTTCCTGGACTGGTTTGGTTGTATGGCAGCATGTAATGTGCTATGTTGAGCCTAATCAATTTCACTAGGTGTAGCAATAATATTACTAGAAAATGCATTAATGGCATTGCTTTACAGCAGCGTCTCATCGGAATCTAAATGAAATCTCAATGTAGTTGAAATGTTTCGAGTCCACTCGTGATTTATTGATTGGCTAGTTAAGTTGCATATATTATTTTGACTGAAACCTTCTTGAGAGTAAAACCTGAAGAAAGTAGTGGCTACAAATGATCACTATTTAAGAGTGGGCTTGGCAATTTGCACTCGTACAGTCGACTGAGTCTTATTGCTTTTGTGATGGTTAAAATAAAATGGACATCATTAGCTAATGATCATAGGAACTTGTAAATAAATATGATGGCAATCCTATTTTGAACAAGCATGATTTGACATAATGACAAGCTATAAGGCATTTCTTGAAGCTCATTATTTTAATAATGGAATAAAAATTGCATCGCCATGCACCCTTAAGTACTTTTGTCAGATACAGATTTTCACAGGTCGTCTTCACTTTAAACTGGATTACATATTGCTGATGGTTTGTTTGCATGGTGTGAATCATTGGGCCAATGATCTGTTTTCAGAAAGAGCTTCAAAATTGCTTGGAGTGAATCTGTCTTTTCGTCCTTAACGTAAATCGTGAGAAATTAACTTTGAATGTCAGAGAAGTAAAGACAACAGAAAGCAAATGCTGGAATAAATTCGACAGAATAAGCGATTTTAGTTTACCATATTTGCCTATTATCTACGAAAGATGTTTTTGTCAAATGTTTGTCAAACAGCCGTGGGGATAGGAAATGGCAGCGTGTTTCATCATTCACTTTTTTTTAAAAAGAAAAGTTACACGTTTTCCTCCTAAGGTATCCAGTCTATTGCGAATGGACAGTTGACAGTGCAAGGCAAATCTCCAGGATATAAATGTATTGTTTCTTTGAAACTGAAAGCAAGTCCATTCTTTTTACAGTATTTCTTAATTAAATTATTCTCATCATTTCACAGCACCACTCTTGCTATTTGATCATATAAATGAGCATGTGGGGGTGTAAGTAATTGTTTTTCAAATGTACCAGTTTTCTTTTCTTATTCTTATTCAAATCGGCTTGTCTGTGACTGCAAAACAAAATCACTGTTGGTGATTGATGCTCAAATTAAATACTTTTTTTTCCCCCAATAAGATATTCTGCCACTAATATTGCTGAAATTACAGTATTATAATGTGTTAAGATTCCATTTCTTAAACTTTGCATAAAGCCTGCCAAAGGTAATCAGTCTGTGTTATAAAGGAATAAATGAGTTTAGCAAAAAACAATTACTGTGCTTTCCCTTTCATAGTCGCTCTTTTTCCTACTCAAAATGCACAAATGAGTTTCACCATCGCTGTTTTTTTTAAAAAAACGTTTACGAAAAAATTGGTTGTGTCAAAGAATTTGTTTCTGGACTTGGGACATTTTACTGTCTGTTTTTAGACATGAAAGCGAGTTGTATTTGACTGATTGGATATCTTGATTGGAGGAGGTGGTGAACCTGATAATCTGACAAAACCTGTACAATTGAAATAACAAATTAAGTTAATGACTATGTTCACCGATAGTATGTGAGCTGTCTCACGTTATCTGGCTCAGTAGACTCCCTCCAAGCTCATTTCTCTGATTTCATCAGCTTTCCCAACTTTTTTAAAAAAATTAAACCACGACATGAAATTGAGATTATAGGTTTTGAGATTACTAATGACGAAAATTATGAGATTGCTCATATCAGGTATTTCTGTGGTCAGACATTACCTTTCATTCAGTTTCTCTCTTCCTATCAAAAGATCCTATTCTCGCATTCATCTTCAGTTATAATGTAAACATACTCCTTTCTGAGATAAACAGAATTTGATCATAGGCTTGTGATAGTGATTGAACATTCAAATTCCCACTTGGACCTTTAGACCAGTCATCGGGGAGCAGGATTCATTCCACTCGGCTCCTCTTAACTCTGAAAGTCAAAGCTGTAATTGATATGGTGATCTTAGCTGGACAGATAGCAGGAAGCTAGCCTGAGAGGGTCCGCAAAGCCAAGTTGCCCCAAGCTATATTCTGGGGTTCGAGTGACTCATGCCATTTTCACTCATGGCTTCTCTGAATCAGACACTTTGGCCAGAAGTTTGTTCAGCGTAAGTGGAATTAGTAAGCATATGTAGCACAAAGGTTGAAAAGGATTTCTCCAGTAGCTCACAATTACCTAACGCAAATAAAATTCATTTTTCTTTGCCCTATGGTGCTCGTGCCAGTTATGATAGTACCTGGATTTCTGCTCTGTGTTCTAAAAATTCTTTTAAATTGTAGCATGGTTAGCATTTTTTTAAAGAGCAGATTGCAATGAAGGTACGGCTTGTCTTTACTTTAACATATCTCCTTGATTTGGAATGATTTAATTCAACCACTGCGGAAAATGTTCAGTTCTCTACCCAGTCAAACCAAATTGGTATTCGTACTCCTCCAGAATATTTATTGTGTTTGTGCGCATGTACACTAGAGATTAGGATTACTTTTTAAATTTGCTTTAAAGCTATCAAGGGGGAAAGATGAGAGAGATCTTTTATTTGTCGGTAATATATGTGGTGTCTGAAGAAACATTTTGTGTAAAACAAAGTGTGATGTGAATGCAGCAGATTTAAAGGAGAGCTGCTGAAATTATTTTGTGTTGGTGCCAAATGAATTGGTCTGCCAGGGAAACTTGTTTAGTATTTGATCAACAACAGCAAAATTACATTTGTACAGCGCCTTTAACATTAGGAGGACATCCCAAGGCACTGGACAGTCAGTTTCGGACCCGAGCTGGGGGTCGGGATCGGGGAGGGTGGAGGGCGGGGGGGGAAGCAGGGTGATCGAAAGCAGGTTGATCGAAAGCATGAACGAAGAGGAGGGTCTTGAGATGAGTCTTGAAGGAGGCAAGGGAAGAGGCGAGGCGGAGGGACCGCAGGATGGAGTTCCAGAGGGTAGGGGCAGAGTGGCAGAACGCCCGCCTGCCAATAGTGGGGCGAGCGAGGCGGGGGAAGTGAAATAGCCCGCTGAGCAGAGGGATCTGAACCTGAGTTACAACTTGTTAATATTGTTAACAAATGGTTTCGCTGTACGACACTGCTGGTTGTCCATTTACTTTTAAATCATGCAATTTAAAGTCCTGTCGGGCTGCTGAATCACATTGTTGAATTTTGCCCGTCAGTCTCCAGTCATCACTGAATACTTTACATTTAAAGTTATCCTTGACGATTTGTGACTTCCTTCCATTTTTCAAAAAAAAATCTCACTGCGATATTTGGAACCAAAGATGCTCTTGTGGTTATGGCTTGTGGCACTAAACTGTTACCCAGAGGTATATGTTTAAAGTAAGACAGTAAAATGTTTTTTGTGCACTAAATAAATCTTGAAGTTAAGGTGGTTGCGTAGCTCATGAGAGATACGCTTCATTTACCGAACTCACCTGGGTCATTCCCCTGAATTGCATTATACTTCCCGTTTAGTGTTTAAGACAAGATACTGAAGTAAACCTCGAAAGTATTGCTGATCTAAGTCTTGCCTTGGATGCATTATCTTTCATTGCTATCCAAACACGATCAGCAGAGAGCAAGGAAATTCAACTTTCAGGTGCATTGAAAAGATCGTCTGTTTTCACACCACGTTCAGGTTCTATATTGTAATGGTGGCATCTGAAGTGCGAGTCATCCTCTTCTTGGCATTGAAATTGATCAAGAGCAGGGGTGAACTGAATAAATTTAGATGTAACTGATTTGATCTCTCTCTGCTTCTGTTTCTGCAGTCCATTGGGTCTATTATAAGCACGGTTCCAATTATTAGAAAGCTGCTAGTTTCACTTTGGTTCCTGTGTGTAACTTTTCCTTGCACATTTTAACTAAATTGCTGTTAAACATTATTTTGAGAATAACACGCAAAATGAATGGTTGTATTAAATAAATGCAAGCATATGTTAAGCGGGAGGTTCTCACTGAAAGCTAAATATAGGTTGTGCTTTTTTCTTGCTATTGGTAGAGGAAGATGTGGAAAACTTTGATGTCACGACTTTATCTGAAGAGGTGCAACGGAACATTGAAGCTGATAGCTTCTGGTGTATGAGCAAGCTACTGGATGGGATACAGGTAACCATGCTTTTCTTTCATCAAAAGAGTTGGTTTGCTTCTGAACTTCCTTTACACATGTATGAAAGGTGATCTCATGGTGTGTTGGAATACAGAACAGCGGGATATCTCTGTGCGGATATAATTCTCAGTTATTTAAATTTGGGTGGGTCATCATAACATTATCTTTGGATCACATGCTTTGTGATAAACCATGGCTCAATTTGCAGAGCGTATTGTAAGCATTTAAATCTAGCAAACCCTCAATAAAGTAAGTGTAGAATATCCCAGTGTTTCAGTGTGGAATCTATCCAATTGTGGAAACCTGGCATTCAATTTCACGTATATGTGTTCCCATCTCACAACTCCTGCCCTTAGAAAAATGAGCTAATAATCTAGGAATATACTCTTTGTGTGCATCGGTTAGAAAAATTCAAGAATCAGTTCTTCCATCATTAATATGCAAAATCAATAGCTTAATCTGAAAGTCCTACTTCCATTGCCAGAGACTACATTGCTTCATATAGATACCAAGAAATTAGTTGATTTTTAAAATGGGGGAAAAAGTGAAGGAATTTTGTTTAGATAGAGGCTGGCTGTGCTAATTTTTATTGCAAACAGGTTCAACATTTACCACCAACTTCATAAATCATAGCATGTTGTACTTTATCGCAGTCTTACATTTGAAGTGGTACTTAAGAGTACTTTTGTAATAACACGTTTTACCACCAAAAAAGAAAAAACCCAGTCCGGAATAAAAGCAACATAACCACTCCAAAAAAAAATGAAGGATAGACATTTGTTAGAGTACGAGAACATTTCCAGTCACTTTCCCTTGGGGCAATATCATACCTTACTACAAATAAGAATTTACCAACAGCACATTGCTTTATGTGATAAAAATTACAGCATGAGACCCATGTTCTTGGCAACTTAAAATTTCCCGTTAAAGTTGCGAGTGTTACCTCGGTTTGCTAAATAGTTATGGTAGCAGATTGCGAGCAGGAAGATCAACGAGTTCTATTTTGCATTGTTAGAGCACTGATAGCAGTGCATTTTGTTTATGGTCAGTGTGTATCATAACTTGCCTGTGGCTGCTTTTCTCAACTGATTTCACATAATTTATTGTACTAATTAAGTCCCTGGATTACTGAAGTAGAGATCAAGGTCTAGTAGGACAATATTTTGTCATTGTATCGTAAAATAGGTATGATTTATAATGTTTTTGTTTGAAAGAATCCTTCTGGAAAAAGGTGTCTGTATTTCACGCATATATATTTATATATTATACCCCTATTTTATTATGAATAAAAATATTTTTGGAATAGTTTAGGATTTATACTTTAATGCTCATCAGCAGTTATTGCATTACAAGCAGAAAAAATTGTGCATAGTGTAGAAATTCAGAGATCTTCACTGCTTTGAATATGTAAACTAGAATCCAGTTTTAGTGACTGCAAATTTCTTTGCAAGCTGATTATCCCCTCTAAAAACCACCACTATAACCGTAAATCTGATTAACAAGCTGTTCCTGCATTGCGTTTTCTTTAGATTTTTAATTTTATAATAAGTTAGCAGCACTTACTTGCATTACATCTGTTCTGTGAATCAAATATCTGGAATCAGAACATCTGAAAATTCCTGAACATATAAGAAAAGGCCTGTCTGAATAGACACCTTGGAAATGTGTTACCTTAGGCAGCAACGAACCAATCTTTGAAATTGCCGCAGTTGAGTATCAGTTTATTTACTCACGCTGCTTTGAAATATTCATTCATTCATCATTATGCTCCACATGTCAACTGATTTGATTGACCATTTGTGGGTAGAGTCCCTGTCTGTCTTTCCTGCAATGTATAAGGGTGGTCCCTGGGTGTTCATCCCCAGTTTTTATCCTCATTCTTTTCATACCACTCACTTTATTGTAAAAGAGCATCGCTTTAGCAGTGTTACTGATACACAGATGGAATAGAGACTGTTTACTGTTATTGTGGCTTTCGTAGAAGTAGTAAAAATGGCAAGTCCATGAGGATGTACAGTATTGGTAAAGGGTAGTGCTGAACATAGAAGTACTGATCTTTTGCTTAAAAGAAAGCCCAAGGGCTTTGTGGCCATGATTCCTCCCACAATCACTTATTTGATCTCAGCCTTGCTGTAGTCTGGAGGACAAGCACGTCTTCCACACAATAGGAAGGAAAATTTGGAGAGACAGAATCACTCCAGGCTTTTTGTCCTGTAGCTCTTAGTTCAGGCACAAGATTTGGATGAAGAGGGCACTTCAGTTCATCCAAACTCACCCTTCCAGAACTCTCATTCTTCCAAAACACCACTCCCTACTGTCCTGTTCCTGTCTCCCCCCCCCCCCCCCCCCCCCCCCCCATATGCCCATCACTGCATTATGCTGCTTTTTAAATGAGTCCAGTATCTTGGCCTCAAACACCTTTCTGGTCATCCTGTTTCACTCATTGATCAACCTTTGTTAGGCAGCCACAGCTGTGTAGAGTACATTATCATTTATGATCCGACAACAAGCATGAAGACAGTTTTTTCATTAAGCTCTTGGAGTTATAATGTTGTGCTTCATTTCCTGGAATATGATTGTTTATTCATGTAATACTGTTGAAAAGGAAAAAAAAACTGCGAGCATGTCAAGTACGAAACTTAAAGGTGCGTATAACTGCTGAAAAAATAATTGCGTATGAGATTGTACTTTGTGAATCTATCTGAGCAACACTGATGAATTGTGAGCCAGCTATTCGTTAATGCATTGATGTTACAGTATTTAGTTGTTTTGTCTTAGTTACATGCTTTTCTGTTTATCCAGACATTACCAATAATCTCCATTGCCTTTTGCTTAAGACAGTTTCCGTCCACACAGTTGCGTACAGAGAAGTGTGTGCTTATCTGAAATTAATCTTTCCTTTTCTTTTGAGTTAAATATTTCAAATAGCTTGTGATTGAAGTACGATTAAATACTGCTGCATTCGTTAAGCAATTTGTATTTTATTGTTTCCCTAAAGGACAATTACACGTTTGCACAACCTGGAATTCAGAAGAAAGTGAAAGCACTTGAGGAGCTTGTCAGTCGAATTGATGGTGAGTTATTTGTTTGATTTGTTGTTCAGGAATCCTCAACAGGGTGACAAATAAGCCTTACAATTTTCTGCTCAGCGGCTTTGAAAGCATATTTTGTTCACACATGGAGTGAAGAACGCATAGGGCAAACGTGGTATTTTGAATGATTATTGTTACTTGGTTTTAATTCATTTAATTTTAACAAACAAGACGCATCTTTACTTAGTCAATCGACCTAAAACATTCCTTACATTCATTAAGAAATGTGAAGTTTTGGTTGCCAACAAGCATTTTTGCTCTATATATTGGAAACATTTAAAATCTCATGAACCTACTGACGTGATGTAAGTTTAGCTTTTGAGGTGCTTCTGCTATGTTGGTGAAACCTAAAACATCATAGAGATGAATTGACATTTCCTTAAAGAAAAAAAGAAGAGAAGAGAAGTTAAACTGTGAAGTTTAACGTCTGCCTGTTCAGGTGGACATTAAAAGATCCCAAGGCACTACTCGATAAGAGATAGGAGTTGCTCTCCCATGTCATTCACTTCTTGGCAGTTTGTGGCATGTGGGTTGCTGTAATAGTGACTAAATTTGATATAGTGACTTAATAATAATAATAATCCTTGCATTTGATATAGCGCTTTTCACGTCGGGAGGACGTCCCAAAGCGCTTCACAGAATAGACTGTAAAGTGAATTGGCTGTATATTTGTGGGCGAACGCGGCAGCCAATTGCGCATAGCAATGTCCCACAAACAGTCGTAGATTGAAAATGACCAATTTATTATCGTTTTTGGTTTTGGAGGGATTATTATTAGGCTCTGTGTGGAGTAAGGAAACTTGCCCAAGGTTTCGCCCTCTGCCTGGAATTGAACTCAGGTCTCTCACTTGCAAAGCGAGTGCTCTAACCACTGAGCTGCAGGACTCCACATTTGGAGTCACATTTGGAGGAGTACCTTACGGGATGTAAAGTGTAGTAACTGTATTTGTAGGCGAACGTCTCAGTCAATTCGTGTACATAAATGTACTACAAGAGCCATGAAATGAATGACTAATTTTATCTAGAGTATTATTGGCCAGGGCATATCTGATTCATTCGAATGGGAGGGCGGGTGGGGGCGAGAAAGAGAGGAATAAATGTTGTTGACTTCCATTCTTTTCAGCGTGTTTAACGGACAACTTTAATGATAAATAAGAGGCCCCGAGGCAATGACATTTAATAGTCAACAGTTAATTAATTGTTAGCCCCATGTCCTTCAAAGGACTTGGCATTATGGTAACCCTTTCACTTGCAAACATTTAGTGTATAGTGTATACTTCACAGTGGATAGAATTGCATTACAGTAGATGTATATCTGATTATATGAATAACTCTTTACATGCCATAAAAATGGGTCAAAATCATTGAAAAAAGACCATAATGTTTATAAATACATGTAAATAATAATACATTGGTCACTCAATCCATGCATGTTTGTGGGATACTGCTGTGCGCAATTGGCTGCCGCGTTTTTCTTAGAAAATATACAATCAATTTATAGTCAATTTATGTCTAATATATAATACAGTATTATATATTAGAGTCTGTAGCTCAGTGGTTAGTGCACTCGCCTCGCAAGTGAGAGACCTGGGCTCGATTCCCGGCAGGGCGAAACTTTGGGCAAGTTTCCTTACTCCACACGCCTGATAATAATCCCTCAAAAAAAAAACAATAATAAATTGGTCACTTCAATCCACGACTGTTTGTGGGACGCTGCTGTGCGCAATTGACTGCCACATTTCGCCCACAAATATACAGTCAATTCACTTTACAGTATATTCTATGAAGCGTTTGGGTGTCTGGAAGACGTGAAAAGCGCTGTATCAAATGCAAGGATTATTATAATATATATAACATATATAAAAAATATAAATTATAAAAAATGTTAATAACTCAAATTAAGCTTCAATCATGAGTAAGTTTTTATAACGGTAATAAAGCTTGCGTTTGATGCAGCAACTTTCACATCATTGAGGATTTTGAATCATGCATTAAATGAAGAGCGAGGGCACTATTACTGTGCCATGTGGAGATCAAAGATTTGGGGAGGGTTTGATTGTAACAAGAGTTACCACATAATTAACCTCACAAAATATTCCTGTTGTCAATATTTTAAAGTTAAATCAATACATTCTATCTAGAGTAGAATTAGTCCGAAACTAAGTTTGCATCTTAAATAATAATGATAATCCTTGCATTTGATATGGCGCCTTATTTATCACGTCGTCGAGATGTCTCAAAGCACTTCACAGGATATATTGTATAGTGGATTTGACTGTAATTTGTGGGTGAGAAATAAAACAAATCTGCCCCAGTCTTCCTCTGCCCTATGGTTTTACAGGTGGTGGCTACTCTCTGATACTCTGCGCAGGGGGCCATTCTTTATTCATAAGTGTGTGTGATGTATAGCCCAGGCCTGTCCTCACCCATGTCCAGACACACACACATTTTTCAGCACAGGTCGCAATCGTAATAGCAAACGGGAGTAGGAACCCTGGCTAATATTTGTTTGTCTGTTCCTTAGCCCAAGGCAGCTGAGATTATTTTATTCCAGCGTCAAACTGGGTCTGGTTTTACCCTGGACATGAGCCCAATAACTGAGCCATAGGAGATTTTATTCAGAAAAAAATTGTAGTTTTCAGAATCATCTGCAAACCATCTAAAAGTAAACAAAATTCAGGATTCCTAAATAAGCTGAAACTAAAATATTTAAATTGGAAAAAAAAAGGCCATTGTACTTTGATCTGGAGAATCTAGATAATCGTGACAAGGTCATTAAAACATGATTCAATGTAATGTGACTTGCAAGATGGTGTTAACTGACTACACAATCAATACATTGTTCTTGGAATAATATTCTGGTAAACACAAGAGGCGTCCTTATGGGAAACATACGTTAAATACAATTAAACGTAGACATTAGCAATCATTATTGTGAAAAAACTACCTGGTGTTGAAGGAGATTATAACAATGCCTACAGTAGTTATACGTTCTTTGTCCTTAATTCGTTTGGAAATGTAAAATTAAAAGCTTGACAAGCCTTAAACATTTTTAATTAAACTACTGCCAGTTTCTATTTCTGTGTCTTTATCGACAGTCTTTGTTCAACCGCCTGAATAACCTATTTATTAGTTGAAATTCAAGGTTTAGACTTTGGACCTGAAAAAGTACAGAAAATAGAAGCTAGAAGTATATTGTATCAAATAATTATCCTGACTTTATATTGAAGGAGATGCAAAATTAAGCTTTGATTTATTGTGAAGATTAGAAAACCTGCTTAAACAACCTCCCAGATTCTGTATAACATGAGAAGAACAGTTAGTTATGAATGGAATATGAAATTTGTTTGATGTGTGAAAAACGAGACTATTTTTTGCAGGCGGCTCCTTTAGAGATTCTGAAACATAGGGCTAGAGAGCATGGTATAGGTTGGGTAATTCTAGCAAATATCAGATTAAACTATGAATGTACTGTAAGGGAACAAACTTTAAATACTGTGTAATTAATATAATAATAGTTACATTTGATATTAGACTTTTCATGTAGGGAGGATGTCTCCAAGTGCTTCACACGATAAGCGATAAAGTGTAATGATTGTGTAATTTGTTTAGGCGAATGTGGCAGACAATTTGCGCGCAGCAATGCCCCACAAAAAGCCAGGAATTGAATGCCCAATTTTATTTAGGGGATTATTGGCCAAGACACCAGGAGAAACTCCCTGTTCTTTGTAACGTCTACCTGAACAGGAAGATAAGACCTTGGTTTCATATCTCAACCAAAGAACGGCACCTACAGCAATGCTACATGTCCCCCAGTGCTGAACTGGAGTGTCCGCCTAGAGTTTATGAATACTATATTGTTTAATTTGAAATATCCAGTGGTTAGACGTCGCGAATCTGGAACCAACAGTTTGAGTCTGCCTGCTAATTAATTTGCTGGCCATATTTTGTGCAATCTGTTTTGTTGGATGACGTAAGTTAAATCTAAATGTGACAAATCTGGCTGAGGTTCAACTCGTAACCTGATCAAAGGAGCAATCTATTTTGAAGAAGGGAACAAAATACATCTGTTGTCAATGTAGAAGATGTATATTCATGATGTTAATGCTTTCAAAAAGCTATTTTAATGCAAGTTTTGTTGCTTGTCAGAATTTAAAAGCCATGCTTGTAATTTAGTTTCGGCACTTCATGACTATGCTATAATTTACTTTCAAATATTTCATGAATTCTGAGACTTGTGGAGAAAATGTTTTATAAATAAACACGCATTAAATTAGCAAACACTTTTATTTAAGGACACTCCAATCAATATATTGTTTAGTTTTACTTTGCAGGCTCCATTTCCAGCCCATTATTGTGACTGATGCATACAAATATATTGTGATATGTTTCTGGCTACCTGTGGCTGTGTGCTATGAGCAGGAAACTTGCTGGTTAGCCATGTTTATCATTAATGTTTTCAATCTAGAAACTCTTGCGTGAGCTGTACTGAATGACCAGGTGGTTTCCTGGTTGCAGCATGCATCAACCATTGGCTGGTGGGCTTTCAGCTCTCTGCCCCCTCTCTGGAACTCCGTCCCACAGTCCCTCCATCTTTCCCCTTCTCTTGCTCCCTTCAAGGCCCGTCTCAAGACCCTCCTCTTCGACCATGCCTTCGGTCACCCTCCTATCCCTCCGCTCCCTGCCCTCCACCTCTCCTGATCTCAAGGGTGTGGATCCCTGACTGTCCAGTGCCTTGGGATGTCCTCCTGACATGAAAGCCGCTATACAAATGTCCTCATATATTATATATCAGAAGTTGGTCAGTGCATTCTGGAAGTGACGTCAGCTGTGACCTCATGACTGGGAAGGGAGCCTTATTTTTGTAGATAGACCAGTTACGACACAGAGTCTAATTTTCGTGGCACGAAACGTCATGTTACAACAGGATCTCTCTGTTAATCCCATCAGTTAAATTTGCTCATAGCTGAAGAGCAGACTCTGCAGCAGACAGGGTAGGCATTGGATAAGGACTAACAAATATCCTGACTGGTAAACCTGTTGCGGGGCATTTTGTCCTTCGTTGATATTAATGGATGGCTTCAGTTTGTGGTGAAATCACAAACGATCTGAACAGATCTTTAGTTCGCCTTGAATTTTAAAAAAAGTCACAGTGTGTTCAAGAATGGAGTGAATGGACTTTGTCTCGATTAACTGGTTACAGTTGGTTTAAACAATAAAAACAAGAAAGTGCTTTTTCAGGTCAGAGAAATAGACGTCAGGTTTGATTTTTCACTGAGCATTCCCGCCTTCAAGTTGATTATTACCTCATTAATACCTAAAAGGGCCAAGCTGTGGATTGATTGATGCCTTTGCCGTGTTTAGCAATTTATGTCCTGCAACGCAGAACTTTCAGCCAGTTACATTGTACGATATTGTCAATGTCATTAAAAGTGCGACACAGATTCATCTGTTTTAGAGTTTGTTCAGTGATAGTTTTTAAAGCTCATTAACCTGTCAGTATTCCCCAGGATGTCGATGTGTTGTTCTGCCCTTACATCAGAATTTCAGTGCCACTTTTTTAGTAGGTTTTTTTTTGTTTTGTTTCCTTACCTACTAAGGGCAACACAGCAATTTTCTGACCTAATTTTTAACCTTTAAAAATGTGCAGCCAGCACTGCACATCATTGTAAGGAAAAATTACAGCCAGATTTTGCTTTTGAAGTGCATTGCATTACTTTTTAACTGATCAAGCCACGTATGATCTACAGTGGAGACAAATGACTGTTTGTTGTAAACCTCCTGATAGTTCGGATCTCTCGACTCTGTAAATTTGCTATTTTAAATGACAACGTGTCTCAATATACAGGAGCCATATTTTCAAACAGATGATTGTATTTTGAAAGAATACATACATCAGCAGGTTGATTTTTAAAAAAAAAATGAAATAGCATTTATCAATTGATGGAAACTTGAATCTGGCACCTGTCAGATTGAATTATACTGAAGTTCTGTTCCAACTCACTTGTTAACCCTTTAGGAGAAGGCAGAACATGAGATTTCTTGAGAAACTAAGCCACTCGGGTGTATTGTCACGAATGTCTGTTGAGCATTTTATGCATAAAACCAGAAAGCGAGGTGATTTCATTCCTGAGCACAGAAGCAGGCTGTTGTTAACAATAAAACTGCTTTCACTGTGTCTGCAATCTTCCAGTTGTGATTGCTGCTTCAGCACTATAAAAAGCCTCATACACTTTACAAAATTGCAATTTACTGCTGTGAGTGCAGAGTAGATTCAATTTTATGTGAACCTTGAAGAGACGCCTGATTCAATTTGCGGTTGTCTTCACAGCTATTGAACGTGAACGCCGTAGTGTTGGACTTGTCTTCATGCAGCAATAGACGCGATGAATTTTGCATTGCCTCATTTTTTTATAATTGTCAATGAAATAAGTTTTAAGCAGTGTGGCACTTAAAATGCGTTACAAAATGCTGCTTCACTATTTATTTGTTCCTTGATTTTTTTTGCAAGATATATTTTTTTAAGATTCTCCCTATGCTATGCTGAGCACTGGTCCATGATCATGAGAGAAGGCAGGCTTAATTCCAGGCCTCTGTCAATTGCTCTCCTGAACTTGTTAGGAGACGCTCGAGAGGAGCATAGGTTTATTTTATTATGTGATAGTTTTTCTGAGAACTGGCCTACCGCCTCCATATGATCCAGTTCATCTTAGAAACTAACTGCGTGAGAACGATTGAGTCTGAACTTGCGTTGCACTCTTCTATTTGTAAGTCTAACAGCATACTCAAGTTAAATATTTCTGCTTCATTATGAGGTTCACTTCTTGCAGTAAAGTCGTCTGAATAAAAAAAAATGACTTGTGTTTCTTTACGCCAGTTTCTCCTTAACAATCGATTGGTACATTGGTCTTGTAACGCACTGGTAATGAAATGATCTTAAGTATTTATTGAGGGTACCGTTCCCATTTGCTCTTGCTAGCTGGTAGACGATATTGATTGACACCTAGGTCTTCATCTGAGTTGGCTGGATGGTTTGGGGGAAGGCACAAAGTGAGTGAGTTGTCTCTCCCTACCCTATATGCTGACATGTGGCGTAGAAAAATCGCTTCTCTGGAAAATTATTGGTAGTGCGTTGTTGCTGTGAGTTACACATTTTTGTTTTTCCAATCCGAGATGACACCAATCTGGGTACCACCAAAAGGATTCAATATCAAACTTCCAACTGCAGCCTTGAGCTGAACTATTATTTAATTGAACTATTATTGGAGTCCTGTAGCTCAGTGGTTAAAGCACTCGGCTAGCAAGCGAGAGACCTGGGTTCGATTCCCGGCAGGGCGAAACCTTGGGTGCGTTTCCTTACTCCACACATCTGATAATAATCTCTCAAGAAAAAAAATAAAAATATAATAATTTTGTCACTCGATCCACGACTGTTTGTGGGACACTGCGGTGCACAATTGGCTGCCACGTTTTGCCCACAAAATATACAGTCAATTCACGTTACAGCATATTCTGTGAAGCGCTTTGAGACGTTTAGAAGACGTGAAAAGCGCTACATCAAATGCAAGGATTATTATTGTATAGTTTTTTTNATAGGATTATCATTCAAATGAGCGTAAAAACAATATATTTTGCTTCTTATATTCTGTGCATGCTGTACGAAGCTTTGCTTTCATAGAATGATACAGCACAGAAGGAGGCCATTTGGCCCATCGTGTCTGTGTCGGCTCTTTGAAAGAGCTGTCCAAATTAATCCCACTCCCCCCGCTCTCTCCCCATAGCCCTGCAAATTTATCCTCCCCATGAAGGGGAGAAATTTGTGAAGTTTCTTTGGCCACACTGACTATGACACCTATATTTTTTCCTGCAGAACAAGTGCACTGTCATTTCCGCAAGTATGAAGTGGAGTATCTGCAATTTGCATTCCGCTGGATGAATAACCTGCTAATGCGGGAGCTACCTCTGCGATGTACCATCCGGCTTTGGGATACATACCAGGTAAATGTCTTTGACAGCAAGCAAAAGTTTAGAATTAAACTGACATACATTCCTTTACAGCTACTGATATCGCATGCATCTGGCGGTGTGCAAATTATTCAAAATAAGCAGTTTTCGGATTACATTTACAATAGCAAAGTTGCTGATGTGCAAGAGTGGGAGTGAGCCCACTTCAATGCTGATAAAATGTAAGGCAATTTAAAACTAGTTCATCAAAAAGATAACGTTTTCAAAATAATACAGCCCAGGTACATTTTTGGAGGTACGGAAAGTAAAATTGATGATGCAGCTTGAAGAGTAGTTTCATCAATGGTAAGTAATCCAGGAACTATTTGCACCCAAAAAAATACAGTCACACCACTTTACAGTACGTCCTGTGAAGTGCTGTGAGCCATCTCAATGAAATCATAAGGCACTATACCAAATGCCAGGATTATTGTTTATTATGATAAAAACTGACAATATTTATTAGAAAATTCAATCCTGAAAGCAAGCTGGTTTCTACTGACCTGGCTTGGCCATAGACCAACCATGGCTTTCATCTTTGAGTGATTGTTCTGAAAAGGTACAGAAAGCAACCAGACATGAAGCAGAAACAGTATTTTATTCACAGGTTCAACAAGAGGATAATAAAACAGAGGTGAAGAAGATGGATGGTTCTGATTGCATAGTGACCAACAAAGCATATTTGTATTTCCTTTGAGATGCTTGAGATTAGTTGAACTACATCACAAACCTCTTAAAAAGATGTAAGATTGTTTCTGTTTTTTTTCAATCTAATCTGTGTTTCCCTGGATGCTGCATCAATCAAAATATGCAGTGATATTGCTTTGAATTATGTATCATAACGTCATTTTACTTTTTAACGCACCCAAGTGCGTATCCTTTAAAAATATTTAATACGCTCACAAAGCTTTCATCATTTTGTTATTTCACCCAAAAGATGCCTGTAAACCCTCTTGGTGCGTAACATTGCCCCTGTCACTTCAGAACACATTACCTGTCTTTCTTTTGAATCTACAGCTTCTGCTGAAAGTATAAAATGTGCCTTCATGATGGGTTACACAACACTGAGCGTGAATATGCACTTGCCTTTGCCTTGTAACACAATGAGCTTGGCTGTGTTTTGGCACTCAAAAACAATACTACTGTTCATTCTATTATCACTCCATTATCTGCAGTCAGTACTAAATCAGCAAATAGCAATGAATGTGAATGAGTCCTAAGTAATATGGTCACGGGTGTAATTTAATGTAATCATCTTTGTAATTTTTGTAGGTATTTGTTGGTTATTTGGAACACTCATTCACTTGAGGTTAAAAGGATGAAGGCCCCTGTAGGTTCTGTAACTCCCCTTTGGAAAAGACTTGCCCCTCTATAAAACCCTTTGAGAAGATGCTAGTATGTTATTTATCAAATGGGTTTTTTATGTATTATTTGAACTCTTAGTCGAGTAATTTTGCATCTCAGCAGTGATCCCATTAACTGACTATGCAGTAATGATTAATGATACATCAGAAGAGCTGAAATGTGCAGTTTTTAACTGGTACGGTTTGATCCATTAGATTTTATTAAATTGGATGCCATTGCTTCATAACTGCACTGTGCTTTGTAATAAAATAAACCCAAAGCATTATGAAGCAAGCTGTGAAAGCAATCAAAGTCAAATAGAAGTTACAATAATGCTGGATTTATACAGCTGCTGCAATCATATCACTTCAAGCTTTAGTGCAATTTGGACTGGGAAATGTCATATTGCCCGCCTCAACATAGCATTGGCCAGCAGACTGAGAAGATGGCTGCATATATGCAACTGAATATGTGGTCAGAGTTTCACGAACCATGTCTGTAAAACAGCAGTATTGAAGAATTGCTTCTAATACAATATTTCAGCTATATGTTGTTGGAGCATTACAAAGTCTACTAATATTGAAATTTTTTTTAAGATGAGATTATCCAACTTCTGGTAACTTGTATTTATTTAGACAGTACCATTCACAAAATGTGCTGTACAAAACAAAATTGATTGGAAATGAAGGGTATCAAATTATACAGCCAACACATCTGACCAGCTACTATGTGTGTGAAAGTGGAAGTCAAAAAAAAAGTAACATATATTTCTTTGTAATTTGAAAAAAAAATGATCAGGATGCAGTTTAAGCATAGGACTTGCAAATAGGACCTGAAAATGATCATCCTGATCCATGACACAATGAAAATAATTGTCACGCGTTTTGGAATATGAACAATTATTTTTAATTTGTGCTGGAGACACTGTAATCAAAAGCTGAGTGCAGAACACAGTTAATTTTATTTACGATGCAGCATAATGTCATATTGTTGCTGCGATCTGGCTCCTTCCACGCTTTGACAAGCAAGATCGTCTCTGGTGGAAAACAAAATGTGCTTTAATTGCTTTTTCTTCCCCATAATGAAATGCCGTCTTCTTGCAATACTTAAAAGCTCTGGCCTTTACTGAGGTGATCTCCTGGGCTCTGTGCGGTAGAAATCAAGCATGACGCTGATTTAGTACTGCTGAACGTTCTGAAAGGAATTAAATAATTCCTTAAATACCATAATGAATGGCACTCTCATCATTGGAATTAACAATCCTGGTTTGGAATTTTGCAGCTTTGAATAGTAAAATAATGGTTGCAAACAATTTGCACAAGTCAAGTTTGACTGCATAGATACAATAGCGCTATACAATCTCTCTACCTTCTGTCCCCATACACTTGAAATAATTGTTTTGCACAAAGCATTTTTAATTTCAGCAATGTAATGTGTTCATTTTTTAATTTAAGTTAATTGTAAATACTTTGCTGCTTTTTTGTCTCTTCCAATTTATCGTCCAGATTCCTATATTTCTCAAAGGATATCCTATTCTTTGCAAAACAGAGCTTTGCTGAACCTGAGTTTTCATCCCATTGAATTGCTTTCTTTTCTAAGGCTTTAGAGAATATATGTCTTAAATATGAATTGGAATTGACTGACACATAGCAGTTCACATTTCCAGCGTACAGGCCACTAAAACTGGATATAAGTGAGGAACTGAATTATTAATAATAATAAAGTGTTATGAGATTGAAAGAATCCAGGCTTAAGTGCAAAATTGGTGATGTAGTTTGAAGGTCACAGACCCGTCGTTGAAGATTAAGTGATCCTGAATTTAATTTTAAAGCCTACATTTGGAGTTATTCTGGCAATCACAGTTAAGAGTGAATTTCTAATGATTAATTGTTAGAACTATGAAGAAGGATTTGTCTTAAACCTCTTCTTATGTATAGGAATGCACCTCATAATTCATCATATTTTCACTTGGAGGGCTTTTTCAGAGACTACACACGCAATCGGATTTAGTGTTATAACAGTTTGAGGAAGATTTATTGACCAATACAGACAGTAGGATGCATTATCAGAAAATGTATTGGAACATTAATTTTGGTGGGTTCTCAAGTTGGCTTATCAAAGAGGGATTGTTAAGATGCCAATGGGCAAAGTGATTGAAGGATGGAATATTTTGCTCTCACTTCTGTGATTTGCGTGGGAGCCGAGTCCCAAATGGTGAGAGAGATGAAAGTTGTCTGAATCCTAATGAGAGAGGGAGGTGAAGGGTCCTACGTAAAATAATGGAAGAATTCTTAATTCCATTCCTAATTGGTGCTATTTCATAAAACAGAGCTACCATAATTCAGATTAATTGGCAGTACCATAAAGAAGCCACAAAAGTGCACATTTGTGGGACCTTCACAATCCTTTGAACCTGTCGCTAGACCTAGATAGAAGTCCCTGATACTAAAACCAAATAGAAAAGGATTCTGTTCGCAGAGTAACATTTCTTCTTGAGCATAAAATGTTGTCATCATATATACGTTTACGAGGTTAGTAGGGAACATTTCTAACTAAGATGGCAACTTAACATTTCCTCCAAATCTTTTGCTTGGTACATTGGTGGGAATTAATGTTTTTTTCAAACTGTCAATAGATTTAGTCTTTCGATGTACAATTTCACGAGCTACATATATATTTCCATTTATGTAAAGCCAAGATTAATTTGGCTGTTATCTCCACCAAAATGGGATGCCATTGTTATACATATGAGCTTTTCCCACTGTTCAACTGCATATTTCCAGATTTAACTTCAAACAATAGGTTTACTGTCCAGAGAGTCATCTTGAGCTACTATCTAAATTCAGATGTCTAATGCACAAGTCATTCAATGCATGGTTTTTACCTACTTTTGAAGGTTTGTAACTACTTTGAAAGACCACCTGTCTCTAAGTCTCGCAAATAAACCAGAGTAATTTGAACTACCGGTTGCAGTTGTCAGAAAATGATAATTCAATTTCTGCTCCTTGCTGCTTGTCAGAAAACTATTCCCTGTGCTCAGCAGAATGATTGACCTGTTTACATGTTCAGAATGCCTGCATTGACCATTGCGCTGCATTGCTAAAATTCGACTAAACAAGGTACAATCTCTCCCACTGTGGCCGGTGTGTGCTTGCTTGCTGGGCTGCAGGAAGCTAATATTTTCACACGACTTGATACATACTAAATTGTCTGCTGTCCGTATAAGTATCTTTTCAATGATATTATAAACTCGCTCGTCAGATCAGTTGCTTTCAGGGACCCTAAGAGTATTTTGATAACTTTCTGTATACTATTATTTAAGATTTTATGATTTAAAACGAAATGCTGCAAGAACTAATACATAGTAATTAGCACTAGGGGTGAACCTAGGTTACTTTAGCCAGTGCCCATTTTTTTGAATTCCTTTATATAACCTTCACATTTGTGTAATCATTCAACTACAACACATTTCAATGAGATACTTTGTAATATGGCTAGTATGTCGTGTAATTTTAAATGATTATAAATTTAAGTACAACAACTCCCTTGATGACCTCATAGGTAAAGACATTGCTTAATGTAACACTGAATGACAAAGACTTGGAAGGTGCCAGGTTTGACTCCCAGTATCTGCATAGTTAGCTGATCTC